GTTGACACTGATGTATCGCCAAGTTGGTTGGGGTGGCTTGTCTCATCTGCTAGGGTGAGACCTGAGGTACATGTAGTGTGAGTTTTCTTGAAACACTGAACCGGACCAAAATTCTAGTATTGGCATTGAACTTGGAGATAGATGGGCAAAACTGGAATGCTACACCTGACCCCTAGACTCGATTATGATTCGGATTGGGTTGTTTTTGATATGCCAATCAGTGAGATCCTTAGAGGGGGTCAAAACCTGGGTATGTTGAGACAATCTGAGAATTCATCTGAGTGGTTGATCATAGTGACATGATCTGCCCCTTTGTCGGACAAAGTGAATGATCGGGGGCGCACTCTCTCTAATGGAAACCTAAACTACCAGTAGTTGATTTCAACCGTTGAAATTTGTTTTGCAAAATACATTTATATAGAGATATACATGTTTGTAAAAGGTTTTAATTCCCGGGATCCATGTGAGTAGAGAGTGCAACACTGTACCTTGCAGCCAAGGGAGAGGTCTTCTCTTGTCGGCAAGTGATTGATCATTATGGGGCTGAGAGGTTAAGTGTAAGACCATTGAGGGTTATACCTGATGGGCTAATCTTGCATCTGCCCACAGTCCTTGGGCCTTCATAAGATGAATGGACCCAAGGACCATTTAGTGTAAATGTTGGGCCCATTAAGAGCCCATAGTGATGGACTCAGGGGTTCACTGTATTCAGTAGTGAATTCGGCCAGGCCTTGTAACAGAGGTTAGGCTGAACCCATGTGGCTGATGTGTAGATCAATGATAGGGTCCCACACCACACAAAGAGAGCCAAGCTAGCCAACATTAAAGTGGAAGTGAGTCTGAAAGCTTAATGGGCCTAAAAGCCCATTTTGAAATGGGTTAATTAAATTAATTAAATAGGGGCAGATCTAGAATTTGGATCAGCAGATAAGATAAGGGATTATCCTTATCCACTCAAAGAGTCCAGATCCAAATAAAGATTTGGATCAAAGGAACTCCTAATTTGATTAGGAAGGTTGATCTTTATCTGCAGATAAGATAAGGGATTGTCCTTATCACTTAAAGAGTCTAGATCCAAATAAAAGATTTGGATTAGAAAATTCCTAATGGTATTAAGAAATTTTATCTTTAAGGCTATAAATAAGAGAGCAGGGCGAACCTCCAAATACACATTCGCTGAATACAGAGAGAAGACAACATAGTTAGACTCCTCTTGCCCTCTACTCTTTTTCTTCCTATTCTTGCCGCCCCACCTTGTTCGATCTCCAGTTCTTGGATTCGATCAAGATTGGATGTTGATATTGTTTATTGCAAGAAGAAACAATATAGAAGCTATGCTCACTGTCCTATTCGATTCTTGCTGAAGAATCACTAGTTTTTGGTGAAGAACTACCTGCTGATCCTGCCTCACCCTAAGCTGTGTCATCTTCAGTGGAGGGAGGATTTGGTACTCTTTTTGGGCATGAACACCTACGTTGGGAGGAGCATTCTTGCATGGATTCCGTATTCGGTATATCCCTCCCTTAATTTGGTTTCAGATTTGCCCAACCTTCCTGCAGGGTTCGGCCATCCATATGATGGATCTCCCATCCATTCACATATTTGTATTTGTACTCTTTCCAAACTAAGCCTTAACTACAAAGTCCACTAACAGTCCTGAGTAGTTACTCTATTATTTCATTTATTCTAGTTGCTATTATCTTTAGTGGTTACATTTGAATATTGTTCTTGATGCTCTTACGATTACATTGTTTATTTGTTTGAAGTTTCAGCTCATACTTGTGTTGTGAGTTAAGCATAGTGATAATTCACTTGTCTTCATTGTTGAATAATCTAACTAAGGTGGCGTTTGATTGCACTTTTTAGAGGTCTGAATCTGAAAATTCTACTTTTCAGACCACACCCCTTGTTTGGTTGTACCTCTTAACCTGGGTCTGAAACTGATTTTCAAATATGAAAATCATAGACCTTGGGCCGGCTCTTAACGTGCTCAGACACATTTCAAAGCCGACCCAATGTCCAAAATATCCTTACAATTTTTCGTGAATGACCTGAGTTACCCCTGATACCCCAAAACCCATAAAACCTAAACATTTGACCTCTCTTCTCTCTGTCTGTCTGTCTCTCTCTCCCTTTCTCTCTCCGCCCTGTCTTCCTGCCACTGTTGCTGCGAGTTGCAGCGGTGGCTCTCTCTCTCTCCCTGTCTTCTCTCTCTCGCTCTCCCTCTGTCTCTCTTTGCCCTGTCTTCCCTTCACTGCCACTACAACTTGCAGCGGTGGCTCTCTCTCTCTCCCCTGTCTTCTCTCGCTCTCTCTCTCTCTCTCTCTCTCTCTCTCTTTCTCTCTCTCCCTCTCTCTTTCCCTCTCTCGCTGCATGTTGTCGATTGCTCCTTCCCGCTCTGTAAAACTCCCCCTACCCTCTTGCTTCTTCCGCTGCCTATCCCACCTTCGACGTGAAGCAGAGGACCGGTGCAACATCGCCACTAATTTTGCCAGATAATCTGGGCTTCTGTGAAGCTCAGAAGCAAGCTACCCCCTTCTCACTGGAGTTCAATCAAGCCATTCCCTTCTCTCGTTTGGACAGAGCATTGGTTCATCTTCTATGAAGACAGATGGCTTTGTCGGTGGGATCGAGAGGGCTATGTCGGTGAGCTCGCGTGGCTTCTGTTGAGAGGGCTTTCACACTGTTCATCATCTTATGTTTTCTTCTCTCTCTCTGCCCTGTCTTCTCGCCACCACAACTATCTCTCCCCCTATCGGTTTTCTCTCTCTCTCTCCCCCTCCCCAGTCTTCCCATCACCATTGCAACATGTAGCAGTGGTTCGGTGAATAATAATAATATTTTTATTAATTATTAATTAGTTTAATATTTTTATTAAACATTAATTATTTTTATTAAATTTATTTGTATTATTTATTATTTATTAATTATAAATTACTTTTATTAATTATTAATTATTTTAATATTTTTCATTAAACATTAATCATTTTTTATTAAATTATTTGTGTTATTTATTAATTAATAATTATTTTGATTAACTAGTAATTTTTAATTATTTCATTAATTTTAAAAATTACTTTAATTTTTATTTGTCTAAATTATTAATTATTTTAATATTTTTATAGTCATTATTTTTTTTATTTTAACCATTTCATTTGTTAATTAGTAATTATTAATTTATTATTTTTTTATTTATATTATTTCAATATTATTTTGAGGTTGAAAATTATTTTTTATAATGCAAATTGAACTCAACATTTCCAAATATTATGTTTTAGGGGTAAAATAGTAAAATCAGTAAATTTTAGATGGTAAAGGACTGATCCAATACAAACTTATGGATTCAGATCCTCTAAAAAGTAAAAAAGCATCTATGTCTCTTTTCAGATTTCAGACACTTTTAATATCTTAACTTTTTAGATCTGAATTTTCAGATTTATCAAATGCCACCTAAGCCTCTATTTTGCTCCAATTTGTATTAAAGGCTTAGAGCTTTAATTTAGATTTGGGGGGAAGGTAGTAGACTATGCAGCAATTCCCAAAATTTATTGTCTTTCCTTCATCTAGTTCTAAAATATTTTTATATGCAAGTCCCTATTTAGAAAGAAAAGGATGTGCTTCTATAGAGAACATACTTTACTTTGATTTGTATGTTAAAGCTAAAAGTAAGAATGTGAAAACTCTGTTATTGATGTATTTAGGTCCATTTGATTTGTAGTTGGAATCGGAATGTTAATTAGAATAGAAATTCCTTGAAATCAGAATTGGAATGGTCCAACTGTTTGATTGAGTGGAATCATGCAGATTCCCATTCCCATTCCCATTCATGGTAGAGTGGCATTCGCCCATCCTCCCCTTCCCTTGGCAATGAGATCCTATCCTAACTGATTCCAATTTCCATTCCAATAAAGTCTGAACCAAACAGCCTATGGGAATAGATCATTCCCATTCCAATTCCAAAGAATTTTAATTCCGACTACAAAACAAACAGAACCTCATTCCCAAAGGAAAATCTGAATGGCTATTCCCTCAAATAGAAAAATGCCATTCCAGTGGCAATGTGAATCAAAATCCATTCTGTCCAATCAAACGTCTGGAATTGAAATGGCCACTCCAATTCCGATTCCAGATCCCCATACCCACGAACCAAATGGGCCCTCAGTAAATGGACGCATCTTCCTTTTCTCACCTCCTAACTCTTCCACTTTGTAAAATTCAGCCCCAAACGACTACACAAATGGTTTAGAAAGCATTGATTTAAAAAAAAAAAAGGCACAGAAATCATGTTGGTGGCGCAGATGGCCCTGTCCATTTGCGGGCTCATACGTGTCAGGCGGTGAGGGTTAGAGCAGAACCAATCAGCGAACGTGCACTGCCCTTCTCGGCAGGTTTCGGGGAGCCAATGGCGCAAGGTCACATGGTGGCCTTGGATGGCCCTGCTCCCCGTGTACGGACTCCATCTCGATCGTCTGGGCTCTGTAGCCTTCAGGCGACCTCAAGTATAAATAGGAGGTGACTCCCTCCAGGTAAAGGATCGAACACTTGAGCTTTCTCACTAGCATTTGAGATCTCTTACTCTCCTGTGACCTCGTCTGGGTGCTCGCACCTCAGACCTTTTCTGTTCATCACCTCAGTACTAACTTGACAATCAGAGTCTCTGCCTCGGGTCTTCACCCAAGGCCTTTGACGTTCTTCTCCTTACATAACCAACCTCCTGGTCCTCGGCCACCTCAAACACACGGCATAGCAGACCTCGGACCTCAGACCTTGGGTTTCCACCACCTCAGACATTGGTCCTTGACCATCTCAGTCCTTGGACCTCGGATACCTCGGCCCCACTCAGGCTTAGGAGTGAATTGATAGTGTTGTCCTTGGCCAATCTGAGCCTCAACAGTGGATATTTTAGATGGTGTTCCGTGTCCGCCAATTAATGTATTTTGTTTTTGAGAACAAAAAATGGTTTTTGTGGCTTCAAGCAATATTGAAGAAGAGTTAGGAGGTGATGAAGTAAAATACCATTTATTCTATTATAAGTACTACATGCATAATAGAGTTTACAGAGTTATTTTTAGGTGAATCAATAGACTGTCCCAGTCATCCTTAGTTGCAATCTCCTGGGCCAAACCCAATCCTCTGCTTTGCAAGATCGTAGATCACCTTTAGATTTTGTTGTTGTTTGTTTCCAAGGATAGTCACATCTCCATTATCGTCATTTCCGGCGAAAGCCAGACAGACTTGCGAGACGTTTCCACTGTAAAGGATGCCATTAGGATGCACATCCAGCACGATATCCCCGCGGAAATGGAGGCCTATCTTCGGTATCCTTATTGTACGGTATCTCGTCAAGTCATAACATGTATCCAATATTGAAAGGGCCTCCGCCGATCGGTACTTGGACATCAATTGCCGGAATGCAGAGCGAAGGGCGGAGTAGACTGATGGAGGTAAACGAGTAATGACAGTGCCAGAGTCTATTATGGTTCCTGAATTTGCAAAATCCGATGCTGAAACCGGCAGTCTACGTCCTCCGACGCTGATCGCTGTTAGTTCAAGAAAGTAGAAGGAAGGGTACTGGGAGTTTGTCAGCAACGACGTGAACTGAATGGCTGAGGAGACAGAACTGATTGCTTCTCTTCCAAATGCCAGGTATCCTGTAGAGCTCGAAGTTGAAGGCAAACAGTAAGAGAAAACTTGACCATATGAATTGGCCGTCTGGGACACCAGGGATAGCCGGTGACGGCCGAGTCCTAGCAACCCGGCTGCGTTTCCAAAGAGCCCTTGGTTGTTCTGCCCACACCCAAACAAGAAATTAGGGAAGATGTCAGAACTAGAAGCGGTGAGTCTGAGCATTTCACGTCCAAAGTATCCGACCGAGTATGACCCATCACCGTACTGGATGCTGTAAATGCATGTGGAGGCGGAGCAGCCAGTAGGGGAACTGGTTGCAGAACTGAGTTGAGAGCACTCATCTGCGCTGCAAGTGACATTGGAATAAGACGATGATTTTGTTGGATCGAATATTGGATCTTGCTGTTTGTGACAGTATCTCGTGCACGGCTTGCACTGAATCCATGTTAGGTCGCTCCCGGTGTCAAATATAAGGGAGAGATCAGTCCTTGGGCTTCCCAATCCCACTCTCACAACGTAGTTGCCGGAGCCCAAGTAGCGCCCGGAGCGGGCTGGGACTCTAGCTTCCGAGTTCCTTACTGCAGATCCTCTGGAATTGTTGGAGAGTCTAGACTGGAGGAAGTCGACTCGAGATTGGTCTTCGGAGAGGATCTCAATGGCTGCGAGTGGGAGTGGTTTTGTCTTCCCTCCGCCCAGGTGGGAGCATGGCCCGTTTCTGTGAAGTATCTTTAGTCTATTCTTGCTGTTGTTTGGACCTAAAATTAAGTTGTAGAAACTGAAAAACTTCATTAATCTGATCTACAAAGAAGTAGTTTGAAGTTCAAACTAACTGTGAATTACATGTTTAATTAACCTTGGGCGGAAGCGAAGCAGGCTGACGCCGGGAGGAGAGAGCTGGTTCTAATAGAATAACTGTGAAGATGATGCTCTTTCACTGCAGTCTCTTGTTCTATCTGGTACGCGTATACGTAGGATTTCTCTGGAGAGTAAAGATAGCAGAGGGAAAGGGAAGAGATAAGGAAGAAACTGTGAAACATGGAGCAGCCAGCCATGGCTTCACCCTTCGGACTCTTCCTTTTCTTCTCTCTTTCTTCTCAGCTATCCAGAGTCCAGAGACACCACCTACTACTTCTGTCAGGGCTAACGTATATACTTGTGTTCCCAGCCTCCTCTAATCAGTGTTTTCAACCCGGTCGACCCGGTTAGTTGGACCGTTCGTTCACCCATCATGAAACCCATTGATTAGGTTAGAAACCCAACGACTCGACCGCTTAATCGAAACCACAGATTGCGAATTTCAAATTAATTAATTAAATGATTAAAAAAACTACCTTGACTTTTGATAAATACCACCGGTTCATTGGTTAGGTGTTGTCTGATATTATATCGTCGAACCAATATATGAAATCCTTTGAATTAGTCGAATTCATATATTTAGGTATGATGACGGATTGATCCATTCAACCGGCCGGACCTTTGAACCATTGATATGCAAACCGGAGGGAGGGTAAATGGGTCAGCAGGATCGGGTTTGAAACAATATTGCGTCACGATGGCATCAGTAATTGCCCAATCGTTTTGCGCGTTGGTCCCAACGATCATAATTCATAAATAGTGAGTAGAAAAGGGCTCCTTGGTGGCCTGCCCACATCCTTTATTTTACTTGCAGAGTGGCCACCTTTGTCCACTATAGGCTCATCATAAAAGATTTAATTTAAAAAGGGGGAGTGATATATGGATATTGGGAATGCATGTCCTCGTCATAAGAATCATGAGAATAGAGGTGTAATGTGGGCAGTTCTGGCACGGCATGATTTTGAGGAATCCACATCAGTACCTCACAGCACACCAATGCACGCTTAGATGTACTGTGGGGTGTTTTTGTAACCATCATTTGAAGCAATGTTTTAGAATTGTCACTGATATGGACGGTCGGACCATTTGAACCGGAAATCGTTTAGGCGATCGGTTTCGTTTTACCCTAAACTTGGTCTTTGGTAAAAAACCATTGAATTAGTCAACGAATTGTTGACCTGGATGGTTTGACCATTGAACTATTTAACCCGAAGTACGGTTTGCGGTTTGGAGCAAGAATGAAAAGAGAAGAAGTGAAGAACTCTCAAATCTGAGATCTACTGGCTGGAGAGAAAGAGGGAGAGAGGTCAATCGAGGGATGTGTGAGACAGTGAGAGAGATCTAAGAGATCTGGGAGAGCAGACTAGAGATCTGAGAGATTTGAGAGATCTGAGATCTATTGGAGTCTAAATGATAGATCAGAGAGAGAGAGAGAGAGAGAGAGATGACTGAGAGAAATCTCAAATCTACTTTCATTACCGTTGCTGTAGGTTCGCCATCGCCAACGTCATTGCCGTCGCCGTCACTATTGCCGTTGTAAGTCACCATTGTCGTCGCCGCTGTAGTCTGCAAGTGACCTCCTCATCCTCTTTCTTCTTCTTCTTCTTCTTCTTCTTCTTCTTCTTTTCTCTCTTCTAAACTCTCTCAACCATCGACAACTTCTCACATTTTTCTCATTCTCAAACACTCTCTTATATTTATATGCATCTTACCCTAATATTCCAATCTAATGGGTAAGATGATAAATCACCAGTTACAATATTTAAACCGCTCAAACTGTTTGACCCGGACAGTCGAACTGATGACCCAGAAACCGGTGGACAGAACAGTTCCATTTCTGGGTCGGTTTTTAAAACCTTGATTTGAAGTGTCATGCCCTCCTTGATCTTCTAGCCTATCTTCATCATCCGATCAATCCTTCAAGCATATACACATCTTCAAGCTTTTATCATTCATGTTGCTTCTCTTGTCATCCAGTACCCTAGTACCTAATTAAACTAAAACAAAACACTAATGGAGTTGTGGACATCGGAGGGTTAGTAGATGTATGCCGTGGTGGCAAGCATTGGATAATTTTTCTATGTTCTTTCCACCAGGCTAAAATATCAAAATTATTTAATTCCTTAGAATTGAAATTGAGGAAACCTATTAAATTACTAAAATTAGCTTGTAAATGCAAAGTGCCAACCAATTGGTTAGTAAGGTCTCTTGCAGGTCATAGTGGAGACTTGGGATCGAATACCGCTTGCACCTAGGTTGGGGGATGGGCTACCCCTCATTGTGTAGTCCTTTAGAAAATATAAAAAAAAGCTTAGTGGCACCTGATTCTTGCCTTTTATTTATTAATGACCAAATATCTCTTCCACTACTAGAGCTAATGCTTCAATAGTGGAGGTTGTACAAGTTCTCATATTTCCAAATAATTTTGTTTCATATATATTGCACATTTTAAATAATAAACCATTAACTTCATCTTTTTTGTTCCAATATGGCTTCTCATATTTTCATAATAAGATTCAAGCAAAACATTTAAACCATTTTTCTAATTTTAGGATCTCTAATATTGTAGCTATGTAATATAAATAATTCTAAATTATTCATATATTGTAAAGAGTATTTAATAATTATAAATAATTGATTAACTAAAATGCAAGAAGTTTAATAATAAACACCAAAAAATACATTAGTTGTATCATAAAAAATTTGTAAAAAATCTTTTATACATGTTGCAATTTCCCAATCATCGTTAGATATAAAATCATGGGACATTTTCTCATTATAAAATTTAGTAAGAATGTCTTTATATGAAATACAACTCTTTAATATAGAATAGGTGGAATTCCACCTATATTGAATATCTAATACAAAATTTCTACATTTTAAACCATATTTTTTGACATAAATATTTAAATTCTCGTTTTTTGATCCAAAACTTCTAATATACATATTACAATTTCTAATTTTAGAAATGTGAGGTGAAATAATATTTAAAGGATTTTGTATACATAAATTTAAGATGTGACATGCACATCTAATGTGAAATAATTTATCATTTAAACATGGTTTTAATTGCGATTTTAAAATATTTATATTGGAATCAATATTACTAGCATTAACAAAACTAATAGAAAAAATTTTATTTTGAATACCATAAGTATGTAGCCATTCAAGTCTTGTAAAACTTAAAATTCTATTTTGTAAAAGCCAATTTTCATCAATAAAATGTCTCATGACACAAATATAACTAATATTATATTTGGAAGTCCAAATATCAAATGTAAGTAAAATTCTAGTATTATGATTTTACAAAGTAGAAATTAATTTTTTATATGAATAAAAAAATTTAAAGCATCTACTTTAATAGTATTTCTAGATTTTTTTTTTTAAATCGGGGATTTACTAATTATTGTAAAAATGGTTGTTCAGTATGTACAATATATTTAGCTAATTCTTATCTTATTTTTTGGGAATATTCAAAATTATCAAAAAAATCACACCCAATTTGTAATTGGTTTTGATTATTTTTATTTTCAAATGACTGGCCATATGTCTAGCCAATTAGCCAATATCACTATTATTGTTATAACTAAAATCTCTCTTACATTTAATGCAAACAACTCTTTTTTCCTTTCCCTTAGTGTTTCTATTTTATACATTTCCCAAACATGGTTTTTCTCTTTCCATCCCTAGTAGCAATAATAGGGGTGCCTCCAGGAACATCATCCATAGAACCACTAACACTCATATCAATGCTATCAGAAGGAGGAACAAAGTCCTTATTTGCTACATTGCAGATGTTTTCTTTGGACTCCACACATAGAATGTCCAACTTAACCACGACCTCATTGGCATCGGTCTCGGGGACCACTGTTTTAATTGCCTCTCCTCGAGATGACTCATTCTCACTACTCTACTCACTACCCAAGCTAAAACTACCAAGAAAAGGCTCTTCACCGAAGATAAGAACACACAAAAACGAGGACCCAAGCAAAAAAATCCATCAAACACTCTCAACCAAATGACAAAGGCACCTGGTTTTGTTCCTTCACATTTATAAGGACTACCAATGACCTATATGGACTGGTGATTGACATGTGCCTGCTCGCCCGCTCATGAGCTTGGAAGACAAAGTGTCTCACCTGATGTCTCCTAGTTTGGAGTTTTGAATTTCAAATTTCCAACCTCCCGCGCATGACCCCTAAGACCAAACTGGGTTACAACCTTGACAATTCAACCAAATCTAAACTAGAAAATGAGTGTTGGATATTGTATGCCTTAAGTCCAATAGTGTTTGTAATTGGTTGTTACTATGAAAAAAAGAGCAATTATTTCATGTGTCATGTGGTATGTTTCTGTTAATTTAACCCTTGAACTACATTTTAGGATTATGTTCGAGACACCATATTCGGTATGTAGTCTAAATGTTCTCAACCAATGGATAGACTTGGGTGGTCTAATCTTGACAAGGTTAACATTCACAAACTACCTAAGTGAGAGTAGACTGTCTCATCTTCTAGGGTTGTGACACAAAGAGTGGGAATGGATGTTTACCTAAAAGACTAAAACATACCAAGTTTTAAATTATTGTTTGGCTTTTGGATAGGTGGAATAGCTAAACTGTTGCTTATGATGTCTGACTTTATAAAGATACTCAATTAGATATTTAGCTAAGCTGCTTTTGATATGCGCATTAGTGAGATCCTTTTGGGGTCAACATCTAGATATGTTGGAGCCTTTATGAGGGGTATTTAGGAAAGTAATCATTGTGATATGATCAACCACTTTGTAAGAATATCTGTGAACATACCTTCATTAGTGGATAGTCAAAATTGTCGACAGTGGATTTCAAAAGTTGTTGAAATCTGTTTTGCAAAATTATATCTATATAATTTAAATAGTTAATTCTGAAAGGTGTTTGCAAAGTAATTATTTCCTAAGATCTACTAATGAGAGGGTGTGACATTGGGTGGGTTTCGGGGACAAGTCCTTCCCTAAGGCTGCGTTTGTTTGCGATACAAACATTGAACCGGGGTATTTACGTACTCTGGTTCGCGTTTGCAAGCATTTGTTTGCGATACATATATGTATCAAAAATGAGTGCAAAACTGTATTTTCTGACATGAATGTATCGATTGAAGAGTGCATTACTGCATCAAATTTCTCGATGCAATCTTGCTCTCTTCGCTCGACAATGTAATTAGGGTATGCATTTGCTTTCGACTGTGTGAGAAAAATAGCCATTTCAGGTGAGCGGAGATCTACTGTGCCACC